AATTGTATGCACTTGGCTCTAAGCTAGGTGATTCCACACTATATTTTTACTTTATGCTTATTATACCAACACTCACTACCCTTATAAGTTTTCATAGCACCTCCCCCCCCCTTCCTGGCCCCTTGCACCCCCGGCAATAAAATTGTAATGGGCAGAGAGTAATCGTACTATTCTATATGAATAAATGCATTTTGTCTTTTATGACTCCTCCTATTTTGAGAAATGAAGCGTGACATTACACAACTGGCACTTATATAGTTAGATAAAATGAATGAAACTTCATTTTAATGTCAGTCAGGTAGCAGGTTTATGACTCCTCCACTTTGGAGAAATCAGAAATGATGTGATGTGACACACACTGGCTTTTAAATAGGTTAGATATAAATGACTTCATACTAGCTTGTCAACATGAAAATTATTCATAATACGTTGTAACTACATTACTGCTCATTAATCACACTTATCAGTATAGGAGATGTGTGATATGCATAAACTGTTTGGATTCTCTATGTTTGTATATATAATTAAGCTTACTAATGTTTAGAATTTAAACTATTAAAGATATGAATAATATGAATCCTAAGAAATGCTTCTGTTAGCTAACCGTTAATTAATCAACTGTATACAGTTTCTGTATTTAGCAATGTATAATTAGTGTAATGAAAGTATATTAAAGTGGAATTGAAAGATATAATTGTATTTTACAAAATCCATACTACAGTACGCAAAATATATTTCATTGGTAAATTCTTCTGAACTCTATAGTAATAGTTGTATAATAACAGTCTTTCTATAAACGTTGAACTGGAAAAAAAAGAATTTAATACAATAATAGATGCAATACTGTGCTAAGTAAAGCAGTGTTCTTATTATTTTTTTCTGGTAAGGTACATTTGTAATATTGCAAAACAAAATTGTCTATCAAAATTATTTTTTTAGAGGGATGGCAATGCTTGCAAAGGAAGGTGATGATTTGTTCTCATCAGCATGTCTGTTGCTGTGTGTGCAGAACGTGACTTGGCTTTGGTAGGAATGATGGCCACTTCTGTTTTATTGGACTATTTGCACACCATGCTAAGAGATGGTTGCATTATGTTTTCAATTTTAGCTTTGCTTGAGCCTCTGCTATACACAAGAATGTCAACAGCAAAGGTTAGCACATGACATCTGGTTAGACTATTGAGGCAGGTTATATCCTTGATGTAGCTGTTGAACACGACTGGCAAGGATGGCTATCTTTGAGGCAAGCTGGTATTGATGGTGATTCAGTCTGATTACCATGTTCCATACTTTGTGATGCATCTTCTGTAACTATGACTCATGTTACACTGATACCTATTTTCAGCATTCTGTTGGCAAAAATCAGCAGTTGGTCTCTGTTTTAAGCATGTTCCGGATCTAAAGCTGCTGTCATATTGTTCTGACCAGCTACTAAATCTTCCCAAGTATCTGCTGCATATTCAGCAGCATTGATCCAGGTTTCCCTTCCACCACACTAACCACCTATTCATGAGGATAGCAGTGGTTCAATCTAACAGGCAAGACTTCTAGCTACAGTATTTTCTGTAATTTTGCTGGTATTGTTTTCTAGGACAGTGATATGATGGGGTTTAAGACTAGAGTGATCCTTCATGGGTTTGGGTCAGGATGCTATATTGATACTGTGACACTACAACAGGTAAGTTTCTTTAAAGTAGATATTCTTTCACCATCTGGATCTGGAGATCTTTAGATGTATTTATGGGTCTGTGTATTTCATCCAAGCTGTAGATGGCTTCCATATATGCATGTGCTTATAGCTCAGATAGGGATTGCTGTAGCTTGAGCTTTTCTTGTATGTCATCTTGGTTTTCATCTGTGTGGATGGGGTACCATTATCATTGTAAGTTACTGACATTGCCATGTTTTTTTATGCAAGACATAAAGTTATTGAAGTGCCAGAATGAAGTTCTTGTGAAATGGGCCTTGTTGGACAGTATTGTACTTTGTATACTGATTTTCTGTAGAGAGCACAGGTTTTATTTCATGCATTTATTACTTTCACTGTCTGATCTGTCATGCCTTATCTGCATGAATTCTTCCTGTGCTGGATTGCATTTTTCTAGACTTTATCTTTATCAGTGTTTCACCTGTATGAGGTGTTTCTTTTGCAGATGTTGTTGCCCTGACTTTGCTCAATGGTGAAGAGATTCTTGATGGTGCACGTGCTGCTAGGTAGCTTGACAGTCATTTAAGGGTTTAACTATATCATCCAGTCTTCATACACATCTCACACATGAGGTAATCTCTGCTGACATTATGTCCTTTATATCAGATACAGATGGCACTAGAGCAAGGTCTATGCAGGAGTTTTTTTGTTTTTTTTCACCTTGGCTTTCCATGTTTAGGTATAAGATTTGGTGGCTGTACTTTAGGGAGAAGAGTATAAACCTATGTCATTAGTGTTTTTACTTCCAGTAGGGTGTCTAGCATTGAAGTTTCCCACTGCCAGATACATAGGGGTGTTGTTAGACAGATCAGCCAAGAACCTCCAATCTTCAGCATAATGTGCTATGTTACCTTTCTTTTACATGTTGATGTTTCAGATATGTGTTGGTAATTTCATGGAGAGCTATCTGGATGGTTTGTAGTTTGCATTGGTGATTGTTCCACAGGAAGTTGACATTAAATTTCATAGCAAACTGTGTTGTATGAAGTTAAAGTCTGTAAGAGTGAACTCTAAAATGTATAGTTAAATCACTTGAAAGAATGTGATACTGTAAAATTCAGAAAGCTTTTTAAGACGACTGACATTACAATATCCTATCATAATATGAGACTGTCAGATTCTGGTGTGGTTATTATATATGCATTGTTTACCATCTCAGTGTTTATATCTTGTTTTTTTTATTGTTCTTTTCCTTCTCCTGTGGATAGTCAGAGTCACCCACTAGGACATAAGCTCCATTGCTCTTGTCCATCCTGGCACTAATTTTTATGTATTATTGTTTGTATGTTGTTCTTAGCCCTGTACACTCTATCAAGGCAGACAAGTGATGATGGGCCAGTATCTTTTAAAAGGTGGATACCGTTCTTGAGGTGGTCACATACAAGTCAACGTGATGAAAAGATACCTTCCAACCATCTAGAAGCTTTCTTGGCACAGGATGTTACTCTGATCAGTACTACTTATAACTGGTTTCCATTGTTTAGTAACAACTGTTGTAAAGTGTCCTGTCTGCTTGATGATTTGCCAACTTGTTCAGTATGTGTTACACTATCTGGTACATCTTGCTGATCTAATTTGGGTTGGTCATTGATTCCAGATTACAGAGATTTATCTGCTCTAACACTGCACACAACTAGGCTTCAGGTGGTTTTACAGTGGGACTGATCTTACCGTTCCTGGCTCAGACTTGATGCCTTTTACGTGCACTAACATTAAACTCAAACTCTGTCTTACCATAAAGCTATATTTAATCCACTATTAGCACTATACTTGTATCTACATTTTAACTCACAGTAACTCCAACTATTTTTTAAGTTAAGTATTAGATGTGTAACTTACTTACATTGACACTGCACATGTTTGTTGTTGAACATATGAGAACACTGTGTAACAAAACTAAAGATGAACTTACTCTTATACTTGAAATTGAAACATGATACTTTATGCTAATTATACTAATTGATAACTCTTCAAGGTACCTAACTAAGTACATGGCACATGCACTGTAAATTAGCAATTGGTAACTGTAGGATCAAATTTGTATTTAATATTGTGGTGAACTAGTACATATTAATAGAGTTACAAGAAACAAAAAAAACTTGTAAACCTTATGTAAGATGTAGATTTAATTTTCTTCTTTCATTTTCGCTTCTCTTTCCTTCTCTATTTCCCTTTTTGTCTTTTATTTTTCCAGTGCCTCCCATCTTTTTCTTTGGAGTATACATATATTTGGTATCATAAGCTATTTCATTTAATTCACCATTAAGACTTACTACCCTTATTCAGTCTTTATTCTAGAACAGACTTATATCTAGTGTGAATTTAAAGTGGGCATGACAAACATTAAGGTATGTTGGCTGTTGTGGAAAGATAAAGCTCTTCAGTCTCCCACGAGGGCTTTTATACCACTATGAAGAATTGTGATCAGTTTATTTTTCTCTGTTTCTTGTGGATTTCTTTTCAAAATTTACAGTTTTGTGAAGTGTAAAATGCATTCAATATATTTTATAATTATGCTTTGAATAAAAATGTTAAATGTAAGTAATAACTTATGTGAGTGATATCTTTTTTTCAGAATTGTGGTATACCAGGGCATTTTGGTTTATTTTATGCCATGGGCCTGGCTTTGATTATGGAAGGAGTTTTAAGTGGGTGCTACCATGTATGTCCAAATGGATCTAATTTCCAGTTTGGTGAGTGTAATTACAATTTTCAAACCACATTATTGTATTAAATGTTTAATTATTCTCAGGTAGTTATATCCTATTTACAGCTTCCATTGAAAAATATTGAGTAGCATGCATTCACATATAGATCATGGGCTTACCTAGTGATGATCAACTTCTGGAAGGTTACAGACATCATAATTGAAGGCTTACATAGGTTGTTCAAAGTAACTAAAACTATGTGGATAATTTTGTAACATAAGAAAGGGTAAATAAAATTATAATGCCAATTCTGGTTTCCTTTAACCCTTTCTATATGGGTAGGGGTCATAGTGCATGTCATCATGTTTTGTAAACTTGCATTCAAAATTTTATTAACTCTCTCTGCCCAGGCATCATTTACTGTGCACGTCATGAGGTTTTTTGTGACTTACATTCAGAATTTAATTAAGTTACTTTTTATATGTTATATCAATTAGTTTAGCATAAAATTTTAGCTAATAACCCATATTTTAATGGTATATAAGTTTTAAGTTCTTAATTTGTTGCATGGAGTAGCCTTCGCTAGTCAAAAACTTTGATTTCTCCACATTTGTCATGTGGTATTCCTCTACTAGGAGCTATAAGTGAATAAGTGAATCATCACACTATTGCTGAACACAGTATGACTGGCTGTGCACTTTTATAGGTCTTCTGATTGTATGACACTGTCTGACAAGGTGTGTGACAGCCAATTATAGTTCCAACTGTCAACACTTGACTGTACAGTAGCATGTGAGCAATCCTATAATATTTGTATTTTTTTACCTGTTTTATTCACTGTTTCTATAATTATTTCTACACAATTGTATACTTACTATTAAGATTTCATTACTTGAGGTCAGATTAGGCCAAAATCCATTCTTTATATCCAAGTGCCGTTGTGATCTTTTGATAAGGAGTTATTTAGTTGACAATTTTGTAATATATGTAGTTTTATCAAATATTTATGATTCAGTGGATTTTGCATAAAACTTTCATACTGGTAATAATTTTAAGTTTGCCAGAGTTGTGTTTGATCTTAAGAAAAGAGAAGACTTACATTGGTATTATCTACATTCAGTTGTAAGCTAAGTTTTGGATGCTGTGATTTAATTAACAAACTCAGAGTTAACTTTGTTCCAAAAGCTACATTTTGAGTGTTTCCTCAAACAGTTTTCTGTTATACAGAAACTATATTCTGTAGGTTTGATTACAGGTCACAGCAAAGTTTTGTATTTACAAATAAAATATCTGTGAAAACACACAACTTAGTTTTCAAACTTACTTTGCCTCACTGATCATATAATCAAGGACATGTTGCTTAGATACTTTATTGTCCGAGATTCAGATTTCAGAACATTCTTCTCACTTTGCACCTAAAATATTTTACTATAAGTATCATACAATAGTTTTTAATTTGGTGCATATTATTAAAGTTCATAACAAAGGCCGTGGTGTAGTACAGCATCCAAATAAAACTGTTTTTATAAGAAGGTTTGTTTTTTGTACTAGTTCAGTTATAAATAGATTATTTGGTTTAAACCGTGAAAAAGTTTTCCTGAATTTTTAAACATTTTATTCTTAACAGACACAACAACAATGTATGTTATTGCAATGCTCTGTATGATGAAAATTTACCAGAATAGACATCCTGACATTCTTGCAAAGTCTCACTTTGCATACTTATTTATTGCTGTTGTAGCTGTCATTTGTGTCATTGGTGTGGTGAGTATTACTTTTTGAACTTCTTTAGAAGTTTTCTTGAATTATTTGTGTTGCCTGTAGTTTTTAATAGTGTCAAAAGTTAGTGAGATCATTTTTTGCATGACTCTGAGATGGAGGTTTGAAATATATGTTTGAACATTAAAGAAGAATTTTTATTGTGTAATTCAATTTGAAATATGTAACTTATATTTCAAATTATATCAGCTACTTTAAAATATGAGTAGCCCTGTTTATCTCCAGGTTGCTCTAAGACAGCCTGCCCTACTTCTTCTTTGATGCTGTACCCACTGAATTCTATATTCAAACAACACTGAAATGGTGTTGTTTGAATATATAACCAATTTAATAAGTTATTCTTGTCAATATGGCTAAACATTTTTCAAGTAAACAAATAATCACTAAATATCTGATATTGATAAAAGAGATACAACTTCATTTTGAGTATACTTACTGATTATGTCTTATTTTATTACAAGTTACAGCTTTTACAGTAATGAAGATTATCTTTTAGAACTGGTATGATGTTTCAATCACTAGTATGATCGTTCTCAAATACTTAAGAATGATAGCACCAGTGATCAAAACATCATACATGTTCTAGAAAATGATCGACCTTACTGTAAAAGCTGTAACTTGTAATAAAATAAAAAATATAGCTTGTTGTTTAACATTTGATTTACCTCCTAAAGTTTATAAGTGGGATTGACCTGTAAGACCAGTATTATTAAATATTGACACCAATAATCTTTTTTTTTCAAGTTTCTAGTAAATTTTGTTCAAGAATTTACTAGTGATTCATCTATGATTAAAGAAAATTGTGAATATTCCTATTTAGGACAGGATTTCCTGATTTTATTTGGAGTTATTGTGCACTTATATCCCTTACATCCTTTACTAAAAATGCTGTGTTGATGATGTGTTGTTTTTCAGTTACAAGAACATGTAGATGATTTCTGCATTACATAGCGTTGAGTATGTTGTATTAAAACGATTTTGGGTCTTCACCACTTCACTTCAGTTCATGTTCCAGTTGATGACTGTAGATCTTGGCAATAGCCTTACAGCATAGTTTCCATAGCAAAAACTTTGTTGTAAGGCTGTGAAAGTACATCACTCCTCTCTGCATAATTTCTATATCTGTCTATCTAGTGTACAGGAACAGTGTTTTTCCAACATCTGTTTCAACAGTCTTATGGCACAGAAGTCTATAGGTGCTACATATAGTGACTTGACTTGGTATGGAATAGCATGAATACCTGTTTAATTCTCCATCTACTTGAGGTATGTGCCAATTAAATGGGGAGTATGACTAGAAGCCATATCTTAATGAACCCATACCAAACTGACCTTGTTTCCAAATGAAGATCCCTATTGATTATGTTGCATACTATTGCCTTTGGCATGTGGATGATTTTGCCAGTGTCCTTTGTGTTTGTGGATTCTCACCTGTTACAAGACACCACACATTGCTTACCATGGCTGGGGTGTGACTTGCTGTAAATCTCTTGGATGGTGCCCCAGGTTGATCTATAATCTTTTGTTTCCAATGCCATCTTAAAAATTCTAAATCTCCAACCTGAACACACCTTTATGACCTGAGTGTATGAATATTATGAGTAATAACTTTTTGGTGGTATCACATTATCTATAGAATATCAAGCAATGTCAGAATGTAGTTCTGATACATGCCATTCCACCATGAGTTTATATTGGTTGTGGTTTTCCCATGACTTGCTGATTTACTTATTCAAAACTGCTTTAATGTAAAATTCTCAACCCTATATTTGAACAAGAAATTACTCAAGAAAAATTTGATTCAGGATTGTCAGCTTTGGATACTTAATACATAATCACCAATCACTTTACAAGGGACACAAACCAGACTTTTGTGTGCACGTTTAATAGTTATGTGCCAGTTTCTTTTATAACCAGCTTTATAAAAGCTTTATTTAATTTGGCTTACAGAATTATTAGTTTCTGTAATTGATTACATAAAGAAATAAGAACCAAAACAGTTTTGAAATTAAATGAAGTCTATGCTTTTTTAATAACTTATTCCATAAATGTTTAAACAAAACTGACATCCTTGTAAATTTCACTTTACTGTTTCTGAAAAGGTAATAAGCATTTTGCTACTTAACAAAGAACAGCATTTCATATTATTAAAGAAAAAATTTAACTACTTTTTAGGCATCATATACAAACAGTTCTGAATTAGATGTGTCTTGAAATCTTAATAAGAAATAATAAGATAAAGTACTCTTTCATATGAGCGATCATATTGCTTCTATTCTCAGCAACATATTCATGATCAGAATTGAAGATCGTTATTTCTACTTTCCTTCCTTCACCAATTTTCTGGATAAGATGTGTTGACAGTATTTTTACTGACTTCCGTGATTCCACATCTATTATCTAAACCTTATTCAACCTGACACTAGATTTACCACATAAAATTAAGAAAACCCTCTGCTTTTGTTAAAAGACAATGATGAAAAGTTCCACACCTTTAATCATAATAAAAATACACTAGTTTATACATACCTTGGAACTCTTATGAAGCCCATGCTCAAAAATTAGATATCATAAAAACTCAGTATCATTCTATAGAGACTGTATGCTCTACCAGTGAATATTTTCAATCAGATCTACTCATGTTAGAAACCAAATTATTAAACTAAAGTGATTTGCTCTAGAATCTGTTAATAAAGTCATCTCAACACTAAATATGAAATGCAGTCTTATTTCAAGGTCAATATGGGCTAACACCTCATTTATTGCAAATATTCTTTTATCTCAAATAAGTTAGATTCTGTCAGAAATTGTGGGAATTTTTCTTTTGAATATCAATTTAATTTGTACAATTCATGTTCTGTCTAGACAGAAAGGTTCTGACACTTCTGGTTTGATCTATCAAATAAGTTATGAAAATTGTGATGAGTTTTGCATTAAAGAAACTTTGCAGTCAAGTTCCTAACCATGTTAAAGAACAAAAAAAAAACTCATGTTTGTGAAAATATATCCAAGTATGGTCACTCACTCCAACTCACTGATGTTAAAATACTCAGCAGAGAAAAATTTAAATGGTCATAAAATAAAAGAAGCCTTACTGATTAAACAGTTTGAACCTAAAATAAGTACTCTGGCATTCATTGTTAACATTTTCTTTACCTGAAAATTTGTTTAAGATAAATACTCACCTTTACACACAACATATAACTAATACCTTGCACCTCTGCTAAGAAGTTTTTGCACAAGCATTAAGCCTTTTACTTAAACTCCCACACCTACCAATAATAATGTGTACTGCACCAATATTTAATGCAATAAGCATTAGACTATTGCTCTCCAACTGTAGGAGGGAGACATTCTCCACAAACAGTGCTACCCATGAGCATGTTGTATATACCAAAAGCTCATTCTTGATGAGGCAAAAGAGATACACGAACTATTGCAGAGTGCAACTATGCCACATAATCCTGTGGGTACTGTGATACAGCAGCATTTGGTTGAGTACTAGGTACCATACCAACTGGGAACTATGTATCTGATCTGAACATCAGGAGATTTGAGAATAACCAATCAGTTGTTACTCAGTTGCATGGTATGCCGTCATGTCATAAAGGTAGTGTGTTCAGTGTTCATAGATTTAGCAAGCTTCTGCTAAGTAGATATATTGACTATTCAGCAAAAGAATCGTACTGAGGATATGTAGTGAAATTCACAAGTTCACCACACTTGACACACTTCTAGAAACAACTAGCTGTTGTTGAAGTTGGCTATTTATTCCTGTAGACCTTCCCAGATGGTATTAATTATGTTATCCTTGTTTTACCAAATAACACTGATGGACTGTTTTAAAATATTAACCACTGTATAGGCATGGTCCACTTCATGAAATAAATAATAATGACACCCACACATGCTGATTACCTTTATCAGGTTTGAGCAGAAGACCCACAACTCCTTTTTGCAGTCTTTCTTTGGTGTGGCAAGTTTTCCTTTTAAGTATTGTACACTGGCATATATCTGTACACTTTTTCAGTCTATTTTTGAGAATACAACCAGCTCAACCATATTCAATATATGGTGTGTGATCCTCCACAGTGTTTTCTTGCCTTTGCATCATCCAAAACCTAAAGTATATTCTGCTTTATAGTTGTATCACAGATGGACTACTTTGTTTCTATGGCTCATAATGATAGTACAACACACATCCAGTACTTGTAGGTGATCATACAAGTCCCAGGTACTATGGGCATTAGTGTTACTCTTGCTAGTTTGTTAGAATAAATGGACAGGGTTGAAAAAGATAAACCAATAACAATATCTTTACTAAAACTTGCTCTAGAGTATAGAATGCTTGCTCACATTCCATTATTCCTCCAAAGTGCATATCAGTCTTATTCAATGCAGTGAATGGTGATGTTAAAGTATGGAACTCCTCATTTAGATTCAGACTGGGTCCAGCCCTTGACCATTGTGATGTTCAAAAATCAGTAAACACTTTATCCCTGGTTGCTATGTGACTGAGAAACTCCAGTGTGCTTTAATGAATACTCCCCTGGTTACTATGTGACTGAGAATCTCCAGTGTGCATTAATGAATACTTCCCTGGTTTTTGTTTTAAATCTGCATAGTTGATATGCTGAAACATCATTCTCAGGTTCTCAGCAGCCTTACAAATGAAACCAGAAACTCATAAACATATATGTAACATCTCTGTCTTCCAGTGCAGCTCCCTTAAGTGTTAGCTCCTTCAAACTCTTAAAATGTGGTAAGGTAATACAGAGAGCAAGTGACGTGAAGTTGAATTCATACAATCCTTCTTGTGCTTAAAGCAGTCTTAAAGCTATATTAATCTTCATAAAGCCATGTCTAGTGTATTTATCCAGTGCCTCCAGAAATTTGTCTAAATGAAGCAGTTACCAAAGCTAGTTACTGTAGTCACCCTCCTATTGTTCATGCAATGTCATATTCCTTCCTTCACAAAACTACTC